GCTCTCAAGGTGGAGATAGGATGGGAGGTGGCCGAAAATAGCCAAGGTGACTAAGGATGATATAAAGGCAAAATGCTCTCTTTATATTCAATTTCCAAAGTATTTACAAGGTGTGGTGCCTAGGGTATTTATAGGAGTGGGAGGCATCTATGGTTGCATTTAGGGTGCCAAAAGCTCCAGCCTCCACCTGTGAACACTACTGCTACTCTCCAGCCTATCTCTACTCTACTCCCATATATAGTATGATCATCGTAGTCCAAACCACATGGAAATACATAGGTATATATATATATATAAACAACCTTCAACTTAACAGCACCATCATCATTCTCAACAGGTTCAGCATACAACATATAACAACACACAGCTCAATCACAGCTACACAACACACTGCACATATACAACTCATATCAACATCAAATCAACACAACAATAGCTTATACGTCGTCACGCATTTCAACTCGGAGATCTCCTACAACATGGGTGAGTAGTTTAAGTGGCTAGGTCCTACCGAACCGACAACAAAGAACCTTTTTGGGCTTGCTAGGTAAACAGCAAATTTGGATATCAATCCACAGCACGATAACTATTTCTCAGACTTTGCCACTTAAACAAGGAAATATAGTACTCGGTTAGGAATTAAGTTCCCGACTTCGTACTTTACTCAAATTGGCCGCTTGTAATCGGTATAGCTCGAACTAGCCCCTATACCGTGGTCGCTTTGTACACGTGTGCCTCGACCTTGCCCACACACGGGACAACACAACTTTCCAAGGGACAACTTTCCAAGGAGGGTTTTCAACAAATTGGGCTCTCTAAGCACCACAGCTATCTCAATCCACACAAATATGGGATGAGTAACTTCGAAAACATCTCCCCTAGTCCTAGTGATCAACAGCTCATCATCACAACTTAATCAGCTTACAACTCAACAGCACAGCTCAGCACAATAACTTAAACAACACACAAATTTTTAACTCAATCATCACAAAGTAATATATTTTCAACACATAGTACAACATACAACTTCCATCTAACAACTTAGCAACATTATCATCATGCCAACTTACACAACCAAAGCAACTTTCAACATAACCAAATCACTCCTTGTGAAATGGAAACCTTCACATAAGACAGCGTATCGGGAGTTATACTACTCCTATCATGTTCATCCTTATCTCATACGAAAGATAAGAAGATTTCCTACAACTCTTATGAAAACATCAAGTCCTAATTCCATCATCTACTTTGTTAAAAATTCTAAAAATCGTAACAGCTATAATCAATGCTGGCAGCTTGACCCCTGTCCACTAAAACATCCATATCTGGAGTTATAGACCTCTTTTTTGGGTGATTCCAGCGCCATTGGAAAGCTAACATCCAAGGCTACAACTTTCATGCAGAATTGAAGACCAACATACTCACGCCCGGCGAATTAATATCAAGCCCGACGCAAACTCAAATAGAGACACGACTCGCTCACTCTGCGCCCGGCGTAGTCTACACAGAGACCTACAGAGGTCTTCGCGCCCGGCGCACTTATCCTACGCCTGGCACAATTCCAGACAGAGACTCTCAATGAATCTCCACACCTAGCGTGCTCAAATCACGCCCGGCGCCATATCAGTAACAAAACACAAGACCCACGTCTGATAGTGCGCCCGACATGGTTCTCCCCACGCCCGGCGTGATTCACCCAGGAATTCCCATTTCAAATCGCGCCCAGCGCGACTAGCCTCGCGCCCGACGTGAAAAGCAATTTTGGTCTCTGATGAATGCACGCCCGCTGCCAAGAACTGCGCCTGGCACAACCTAAAACAGCCAACCCAAAAACTTTGAAAATTTCAACCAAAAACTTGAAAATCAACCCAATCAAACACATGAAATACATTTATATCATACGACTCAAAAACAAGTTTTATTTCAACATGCAACCATCAAACGCATCAAAATCACCATTTTTCCCAATTTTCCCGAAACCCCAAAAATGAACTCTTAAATCCAACCATTAATCCTCCGAATTCAAGCATCATTTGAGTTCCTAAACTCACTTACAATCAATCAACACACAATCTAGCTTCCCTTACCTTGTAAAATAAGAATCCGAGCTCCAGGGTTATATTGTATAATTTGGGTATTAGAATTAGGCGTTACATCTTCCGTCATTTCAAAGTAAGAAACCCCGAACTCTCTTAAAAAGAAGAACAAAATTTATATACAATTAATTCTTTGTATGACTCTCTAATCATATAGTTGGGATTGTCTTAGTACTTTGGATAATTATTTAAAAAAAAACTTTCATTGTATAGATTAACAAGGTAAAAATCTAATTTTGATGCGAAAATAACACAAACAACACCTATATATGAACTAAATATAAGTTTTATCCTAAAAAAAATTTACGTAACTACAGAGATATATTATAATCATATACTCCTAACTAGTTGTGCATAATTCTTTTTTCCTTATTGTATACATCACTTATACCTACTTCATGTGTCATCTCATGTTGCAACAAAGTGGTTTTCCTTGATGTCGCAATTTTTCCCACATGCATATCATTTGTCGTGGTGATTGATAATGTGCAGTGTAGTAATCATAATAGCACCCAAATTGGCAGAACTTCAAGTTGTGCACATACTCTACTGGTCCTGAGTTGTTGAACTGCTCCACCCACATTCCCATGCTCACATCCTCCATTTTAAATAACTGCACCTTGTTGAAATTGGTTAATTATGTCAAAAAATATATGTGCACAAACTAAGAGATATTAACACATTCTTATGCATGCATGCATGCATGTGTGGTGCACAAAACCAAAGAAGAGAGATAGAGATTGGTAGATAGAATCAAGAACAGATGGACAATAAGGATGGTTTACAAACATGCATACCTTTAATCTACGCTTCTCAAATTCATATACAACGAATTGAGCAATGTCAGCTGAGATTAAGTAGCCTGGACCATTAGCATAGATAGGATATTCTTTGCCTACCCATTCCTGAAAGTTAGGACAAAAAGAAAAATGTCAGCAAAGATCAATGTCTCCGCACAACCAACATGAATTCAAAGTCGTCACAAAAGATACCAAAAGACCCCAACAGTGAATGTCATAAATTCATAAAGATCAATGAGCGAAAATTGAAGTCAATCAATTGAACTCGTAAACTATCATAAACTCATTTGACAACAAATATCAAATGACTTAAACTATTAATTAAAGTTGGTCAGTAATCAGTTATTAGTATCAAATAACAATATAGAGCAATCAACCCCACATATATGTATAGCACATAGTGGGGATGGTCGCTATTTTGAATTTCCATATACAAATTAAACAATGTATATTGTATATATAAATGGTTAGGAATTAAAACAAATACTCAAAATTCATGACATGTTTATGTGAACAACCAGAATGATATCCGTGCATTTAGATGGGTTACTCTCACTTTTACGTATGTTAAAAATATATTTGTTCATAAAATTATTATTTTTATATTAAGATAAATCATTAATTGTTTGAGTTTTTTTTTTCAAAAATATAAAAAGATAACATAGTTAAAAGCATTAAATTTTTCAATAATTTAAATTATTTTTTCAAAATTAATCTTATCTCTTTTCAGTTAATCATTTTTCACCTGAATAATTAATATTTTTAATTTTATAATGTGAAATATTAAATATATTTGATTATTTAACAACTATATTATAAATAAAAATTTATTACAACTATATCCAATCCCACGTAACAAAGTGAGTTTAAAAATTTAACCCACTCCATTTTTTTTTGGGTATAGTAATCCACTCAGATTAATAATTAAAAATTTAATATTTTTTTATGAATTTAATATATGTCAAACATTTAAATTTTGTAACAACATATAAAAGTTTTGGATCACATAAAATTTATCACCATTATTTTTATTTATAGTATATAAAACCCATTTGACATTTACAATAACGGTAATTGAAATCATTATATAATAATAATAATACTATTTTAAAATAATAACATAATAATAAAAGTTAGTAAGATCCTAAACATAATAATATATGATAATAAATTAATTACCATTAGAATAATGATAAATATCAAATTCTTCTGAATAGAAAAATAATCATTGTAACATTAGAATACATGGGTTTCAATATATCTTTTTCTTCTAAGTCTTTCAAACCTTTTAATCTTATAAAATTTTATTAGAGTTTAGTATATTAATATATTAGTTTTGTAGTAATTCTATTTTTATTTATTTTATATTTATTTAAATACATATAAATGTTTAATATTTATGATATTGAAAGTCGAAGTGACAAAATACCCTAGGTCCTGTCCTACCTAGTTAAGTGAATTCAAAAATTCAATTCACTCTATTTAATAATTAAAAAAT